GCTGGCTTTAATGTGATGTAAGGAAGAATAAATCTGAGACAGTAAAAAAATGTGAGAAATACCTCCTTCATTTTTTTAAAGGCATTGGTCCAGAGGCAGCTGCTCTTAAAGAATTTTGGGTGGAGATCAACATCAAAGAGTGTGTGTGTGTGTGTGTGTGTGTGTGTGTGTGTGTGTGTGAGAGAGAGAGAGAGAGAGAGAGGAAGCAGAAGGAGGAGGAGGAAGAGGAGGAGTGGGGGGGGAGAAAGAGAAGTGGTGAGAGTCTTGTTTGAATTTAAAATGATGGGAAGTTCCCATGCTGACACAAAGTTCAAAGGCAAAACCTCTGAAAGTAAACTTTCTATTCTTTGTAGTATAGGGCCTCAGTGTGGATAGCAACTGGGGTGAGTGTGGAGGTTACACTTTTGCCTAATGAGTTACATACCAAAGGCAAAAGGGTTTCCTGGCTAAAAGGTGGAGAGCTGTGGGTTTGTAATCCCATCTCTGCCTTTTCCTAACTGTGTTAGTCAACTCTGCATCACTGTAACCAAAATACCTGACAAAGAACAACTTAATGGAGGAAAGGTTTATTTTGGCTCACAGTTTCAGAGGTTTAGTCAATGGACAGCCAACTCCATTGCTCTGGGCCCAAGGTAAGGCAGAACATCATGACTATAGGGTGCAGTGGAGGGAAGCTGCTCACCTCATGGCAGCCAGGAAGCAGAGAGAGAAAGGGGAAGGGACTGCAGGGAAGGTGAACTTTTCTAGGGTCCCCAGGGACCCCCTAGCTTACAGTTGCTACCCAGTTAGGATGGAAAGATTACAGCTCTGTAACATAACCATTTCACCTCTGAATACCCCTGCATTAACACAGGAGCTCTTGGAGGATACCTCATAACCAAACCATAATAGTAACAGTACTGCTCAAGAGCTGGAAAGATGAAATGATATCTTAAGTTTCTCACACAGTGCCTAGGACATGTCAAGAATTCAATTTCAGAAATATATTATTGCTTTATTTAATGGACAAAATGCAGATCAATTTATAGAGAAAGAAGTAGAAATCAGATTAATTTTTTAAAATAATAGATTTGGAGAAAACTGAAAAAGTAGTTAGAAAGAAATATCATTTCTTTGGTTTTGTTCCTAAGTCTTGTCTGACTTCATAATAAATTAAATGAGGCTGTGTAATAAGAAGTGATTCCTCTACCATTGGGTGATGCTTTTGATTTCTTTCTTGAGGTCTTGCTTTCCTCCTGCCTGAAACACCTGAATCTGCAGAATAGGTGTTAGGATGAGGACTAGCCCTACACAAAATGAAATGTTACTTCAGCATTGCCAGAAGATTGCAACTATCTGAATTTCTCTCTCTTCTACTGGCCTATGGTGGGAGGATATTCCAGTTCTTGGGTCTGAAACCTGCTCCCACATCTTTTCAATAGAACTATTCTAAGAGTTAGGCAATGTAACTGACTCTAGAAGGTCACTGCTATAAAATATACAAGAAGGGAAGGAGACCTGGATGTTTATTTTTACTGGGTATGTTTTGGGGGTTTTGGGGGGTTGTTTTCCTGCTATTGTAACTTGAAATATTTCCAATTTCTAGTTAAATTGTTCAGGCCTGGGATATTACTATTGCCTGTGGAGGTGGTAGCAGTCAGTGGTGATGGTGGTGGTGATGGTGGTGGTGATTGTTTATGTGTGACCATTACTGCTACAACCATGCACTAGCAGACAGTTTGTTTTAACTCTTTTTTCTAGACATAAAATGCAGAGTCCTCACCCTAAATGATAAAGGGGTGCTCAGCCTCAGTACTTTTCATATGCCCCAGTGTGTGAAACATATTCCCCAGAAACACATCAACTTCCCCCAATATTTATGAATTTCTCACCTTACAGGGACCAGCAGGAAACAAGCTTCTAGAATATTTTGAGATTGATAACTGCAAAATTAAGACCAATAAGTAAGATATGCATTTGATAGCAGCCCACATGGGGCCTTTTAGTTGATAATGTTCCATCCACACTTCTCACTCCTCTCTCCCTCTTTTGTGTTCTCCAAAGATAGAGTTAGGATAGATTCTACCCAGCCTCTGGGCAAACTCCTGAGCTCTGAGGATTTTTCTGCTACTGTGATCAGACTTTTTGAAGATCCTTCCCCTTTAATGATATGTCAATCAAAAGGTTGGTTGAAGCCAAACTTTTCCACCTTTTGGGGAACTGAGACGAGGGCTGTCTTGGTCAAAATCTCTTTGTATCATATCTTGAAAACCAAATTGGTATAATTTTTAAAAAATGTTTCTATACCAAATTATAATCAATTAAAACTACTAAAAGCTCTTCTTAAAACACTGAGTTAGATAATAGCAAGCATTTAGTGAGCTCTTATCACATAATATACACTATTTTCAAATATTTCACATATGCCTCACCTAATATTCACAGAAACCCTTTGAGGCAGCTCCTCAATTCCCATTTTATAGATGAGGAAATTGAATAGTTTGCTGAAGTTCACACAGGTAGTAAGTGTGAGTCTAGCTCAAAATATCTAAAGTGGTTCATATATAAGAAGCACTATTAGTATTTTCTAATAGAGAGGCTGCAGAATATGGTTTTGGAATTAGAACAGGTTTTAAATTTCTATTTCTATCTTTTACCATCCAAATTATTGGAAACAAGTAAGTTCATCATGCTGAACTTTACTTTTCTCATCTACATTTTGAAAATAATACCTCCCTCTTGGGACTATTATGTAGATTTAATGAGAAAACCTGAAGCTTGCCTAGTAGAAAACTTGGAAATGTAGCATTATTTTGGGAATCAGAGACTATTCTCAGCTGTCAGAACAAAATTACTTTTGACATGACATTATTTGTCAAAATTGCTTTTGACAAGGCAAGAGGAATTATGAAAGTATGGATTTCCATTGATAGTTGGACATATTACTTCCTTCAACTCTACCACCTTAGAAGGATCTTAATATTTTGTATGATTCCAGGAATCAACCCAAATTAGCAGTCAGAAATTTTAATCAAACTAGAATAGTAATGTTCAATAAAACTTTCAGCAATGATGGAAATGTCCTGTAATCTCACTGTTTAATATGATAGCCACTAGCCACCTGTGAGCACTTGAAATGTAGCTAGTGTGACCAAAAAACTGAAAATCTAGTTTTATTCAATTTAACTTTAATTTTAGGTATCTGCATATGGTTGGTGGCTACTGAATACACAATATTATTTTTTAGATTCCCCTAGTTTTAATTAATATTGTTAGCTATCAATTATTGAGCACTTACTCATTACCTGGAGGATAATGTAAATTATCTCACTTAATTCACACAGATCTATGACTAGGAAATAGCATAGCACTTTACAGATTTAGAAAACCAAGTCTCAGTAAATTTCTCATATCACAAAGCCTGGAAATGGTACACCTAGTATAAAAATCCAGATCTATCTGACAGAAAGCTTAAACAATTAAACACAAAACTACACTAATAATTGTTATCAGTATACTTGGGTTATATATAATCTATTATCTGCAAAAATATCCTCATCAAGGGCTATGGATATAGTGCTTGCCAATCATGTGAGGGGCCCTGGGTTCCATTCCTACTACCACACACATAAAAAAAAAAAACATTCTCATTAGTTATATATAAACTTTTAGGGAGAGCCCATAAAATATATTCCTTCAAATAGCATTTGTTTTTTTCTGCAAAATTGCAGATAAGGTCATTTCTCTTATTCAGCGCTTTTGAGTTCAGTTCAAGAAAACTGTCTCTTCATGTGCATGCTATTTTTAGTTAGAACAAAAATCATATAGCTCAGTATATTTTCCCTTGAGCTTTAATTGCCAAGAAACTGCCAAATCTATCGCTCAGCCATCACAGTGAACTTATCTAGGGTGTCTACTGACATAATTTGTTTACTAAAACATATGGTTATTATATTTTATGAGGTCTATCGTGTGCCAGGGACTATAGTAATGGGCATGGGGTGCAGGGGGTACAGAATATACTGTTGAAAATGATAGCAATTTCCTAAGGCAGCCCACAGTTGGATAAGGGGAGGAGATTTATAATGTGACAAGAGCCATAAAAGGTAAATGAATGATGGCATAATCTGACCAGGCAATAGGCCTAGCTTAATGGGTTACTTAATAGGAAGAAACTCTGAAAGCAAACTTTGTGATCTAATCAGGAATTCTATTATGTGCTGATATCACTGCATATAATTTCATATAATTTCATCATAAAAAATAAAAATAAATAAGAAGCATAAAATTCCTTTTAATTACCAGGGATTGTACTCAATAATTATACTCATTTTTCTTTCACTAGAACTCTCATCTTTAAAATTCCTCTGAAAAATACATAAAGCAACTTAAATATAATAAAAATGGAAATTGAGTTGAAATGATGTCTCTGTTTTGGGCATCTATGTTATTAATTTGAAGTAGACAAAGACTAATAAGGTCCTAGCCTTCCGTTAAGAAGATTAAGAAGCAAAAATCATGTCTTTGTGAAATACTTAATTCTTGCCTCAGGAAGTTATACCCAAAAGATAACTATGAAAAACTAGTTTCTCTGGTCTTTGAAGGCTTTAGTCCATTGTCATCATTAAAAACTAAGACGAAAAGTACATTAGGGGTATTTCTAGTCTAGAAATCACAATTTATAGAAACGAATTTTAATGCTTAATTTTCTAGGTAGAGTTCTCCTAAAAGGGGGTAAATGTAAATTTTCACATGGGTCAGCTAGTAAATAGCAGATACAGAAGTCAGCACATTAACAGTAATAGAAATCTGATTACAAAGAAGGCTTCCATTTCTTTCACAATATTGATGCTGTAATTTGTATGTGTCCCCTAAAAGTTGACGTGTTAGAAATTCAATCCTCAAATGTACATGCTAATGGTTTTTGTAGGTGGGGATTTGGGGGAGATATTTAGTATTAAATGAGGTCATGAGAATGAGTCCCCCATGATGGTATAACTTTTTTTTTTTTTAAATACTAGGGATTGGACACAGGCTTCTTCTCTCTCCCCTCTTATCACATTGCCTGCCATTCACAATTCACAAAGGTATGACTTGTACAGCTTGTGTTATGGTTTATTCAACATTAGGTAAAAAGGCTTTAATGATCTAGTCCTACAACCTAAACAATATTCATTCTATCATTTTGATTGAAAAAGTGTTTTGCATAATAGGTTCTCAACAATTCTTTGTATAAATACAAACACATTTAGCATTGCAAACAACCAAATTGCACTTTGGGGCTGGCTCTTGTTTGCAGGTTGAGTGCTCCCCATGTGTTGAAGGCATTTTTTAATGTAGCTCTCTTCAGGACTGAACAAGATTTGTGCATGATGACCATGATAGTTGGTGAATTTTTTTTTCCTGAATTCACAAAACCATTCTACTGAAAGTGAAAGAATTAAACACCCCTACCTTGGACAGGCTGAGGAAGACAATCTTGTCTATACTGAATCAGAGAGGCTCTTAATAAGCAGCTTTGGGGTCCTGTAGCTGAATTTGGGAGCAGAGACTCAGAGACTTGAATGAATTGTGCTCCTCAGTGCTTATGGAGCCTATAGGTTTTGCTGTTGCAACTCCAAGAAGGTGCAATGTGTATGGAGGGAGGTTAGTTAAGAGATAGAGTGGGCTGAGCAGTAAGACTGATCCCAAATTGTAAAAAGATCTAACACATTTTTAAATGATTCACCTGTCTTAGGGTAAAAAACAGGAGATGTCATTGAGACCTATGGTGAGGAGCTAGGTTTATAGCTCAGTGGTGGAGCACTTGCCTTGCATTTGTGAGGCACTGGTTGGATCCTCAGCACCACATAAAAATAAATAAATAAATAAAAAATAAAGGTATTGTGCCCATCTCAATTTTTAAAAATTAAAAAAAAAAAGATCTATGATTAACAGTTCAGGAATGGTTCCTCAGGTACAAATTGCCACTGACACCCAGAGAACCAAAGACAATTGGGGCTCTTTTAGATAGAACATGTTCTTGGCTTTGGAATGGTCTCTGAGTCCAGATCCTGGAAATGTAGTAAAAGCACAGAAACAGGTAAAACCTGTCTCTAGAAGAGCCATTCAGAAAGTCCAGCAAAAGAATCCCTGTCCGATTAAACTGGGAGAGAGAGTAATGCCTAGAAATATTAGCCAAGAAGTGTTTTGTTTTTTCAGTACTGGGGATAGAACTCTTGAATGCGCTATCACTGAGCTACATTCCAGCCCTTTTTATTTTTTATTTTGCTAAAGGGTGTCACTAAGTTGCCCAGGTTGGCTTCGAACTTGTGATCTTCCTGCCTCAGCCTCCTGAGTAGCTGGAATTCCAGGCATGCACCACTTGAACCAGGCCAATGAGTGCTTTTATAATCTAATATTAAGAGACAGAAATGTGTTTATAAGGATAACTCAAAGCCAAAGTAAAAATAGCAACTAAAGCATCATCACCTAAGGAGGTTTTCAGTCAGAGAACCAATAATTAAAAGCAAAAAAATAAAAAATATATATATTTTTTAAGATAGCAAAAACTCTTCTGCTAATAGGACTTTGAGTTCTTAAAGCATAAAGTTTTTCAGCTGTTATTTTTAAAGCAGTCTCAATTGCTGCAGCTTTTCTCATAAAATTGATAAATAGCTCTTCATGTAATACCTGTGGCACAAGCTTACACATTAAAGTATCTTTGCCATTTAAATATTGCCCACTGAATGACTTCTCAACAATTTCTCTGCTTTTTGAGAGGTGTACTCATCCCATCACTTCCATGGCACTTATCCTGCATTTATTCACATTTAATTTTGGCTCATGTCTGAATCATAAAATATCTTGTTTTCCTCATTAGCAACTCCCCATGTACTTACCTCTCAAGCTGATTTAAAAAAAAAAAAAAGATTTCTTCAAAGATTTTAAATTCTGCAACAAGCAACCAACTAGGTTAAAAAAAAAAAAATCCAGGGATCTTCAGACATGGAAAATAGACTATTTGTTTACAGTGATCAATATGTTGGCATCAGCTCAAGCAACAAGGATAAAATTTACTGCTTGTAATTCGTACTTAATGTTTCCCTCTTTTCCAGTTTTCTGAAGCAAACCCCTTTTATCTCTAGCCCAACATTTTGAGCCTCTCAGAATTAGTGTTTTATTCTCTTTTCTTCTGGCTTCTATTTTCACTTGCAAAGAAGAATTTTTAACACTAGTAAAAGCCCTTATAAGAAAAAATAAATGACACTTTGCAAAGAACAAGAAACCTGAAAATTTGGCTGTCGAGAACCGTAGGTTCCAGGGGGATGCCACTTATAGACTGTTTAAGAATGACACCTGCCACTAACGGAAGGAAAGGGACTAGTATTAGAATTGGGATCATAGACATACATATCTGAATGGAGCAAGATATAATTAGCAACTAAAGCATCATCACCTAAGGAGGTTTCCAGTCAGAGAACCAATATTTAACAACGTATGCTCCAAAGAAAATTCACCATAGCTAAAAAAAAAAAAAAAAAAAAAAAAAAAAAAAAATCCTCATAGTTTCTGAATGGAACCAGAGAGAAACGATGCTTTCCCACAAAATAAAAGCCCAAGTCACCACTGAATCACTTGTGTTGGTGGCCGCTAGTTTGGTTCATGACTGTTTTCAACTGTAGCAATCGCTTTCAACATTAAAGAGAGCAGAAATGAATAGATCAATCATGGCCCGGCCCAGTGTGCTAGCCACAGGACTCTAAAAATAAACAAATGTCACTGTGGAGAGCTCCAGAAGAGAAATGCTATCTGCCAAGAAAGGATCCATTAGCCCTTTGTATTTTTCCAAAGTCATTACCCAGTGACTAGGGCAATTTTCGGATCTCAGGACTGAGCTACTTGTATTTTGATCCCTCAACATATTTGGGTTTAGTAATTTCTTCTTAGAAGGGAAGGGTGGGAAGTGCCCTAATTAGAAGTTTCCTAAAATGTGTATGCTTATCTATGCAAAAGGGTGAATATTATATTCCTGGAAGTGGGGCAAAAGGGCTCCTCAAGGGGCCAAGTGTGGAGGCATATGGCCTTCAAAATGACTTGATAAACAGCCTTCAGTTCTTAGAAAGATTGGGGCTAAATGGGAAATTGAGGTTGAGGACCAGAAACAAAAGAGGGAGGGGGGCTTTTAAAAATCACAAGCGGGTAGAAACAGCCTCAGGACAGCTGGAAAACCAGCATTTTGCTGAAGGATATATTTATAACACCTTCTGTTTATGACTATTAATACTGGATTCCCATTTATGGTACTAATATAAACTTTCTTTTTTAAATAAATATTTTAAGTTAAAAATATGAATTGATTTGATGTGAAATGTTTACTAATGTGGTGCTCATAAGTAACAAAGCATCTGAAGCTGGCATGTGAATGGTTGACATTTAGGAGCTACTGACTTTGAGAAGTGCTCTTGGTTTGAGGGCACTCCACTCCAGCCCCTGGAAGCTTGGATGAATTTATTTACATACTTTCCCCTAGCCTCATAACTCTCAACCATAAAATGTTTGGATGAGAAGCATCAACCTCTAAGAGCAATTGTGATGAATAAATGATAAATGTTCAGTTAGTGCCAGCCTCTTTCCTTCCATTAGGGATATGTGGAGAAAGTCAAAAGTCACCCTAAATCACCCCTGCCTACCCTCCTCGACAATGAAGGTAGACAGGGTAGACAGGGATAAGTTATATAATGTTTATGTGAAAACCAATAGTCCATAGTTGAAGACCAACATATTATATCTGCAAACTGAAGACAGAAAAATGAAGTGTCAACACAGCCCTGTCACCAAGCAGAGTGTTTTTTCTAGGGTACTTGGCTACAGCGATGGGGTCTGCAGGCCAGTTGTGGGCATTCCTAACTAAAATCTCAGGCAATTGTATAAGGGAGTGTGTGCACACACTGATACAGAGTGCTACGCACATACGCACAGCAAGGCAAAGTTTCAGAAAAAAATGTTTAAAGAAAGGTAATTTTGAGATGGAAGAACAGGACTTGTACTATCATTTTCCTTTCTCTCTCTTCTTCTTTCCTTTTTTAAAAAATATATAAAAGTACACCAAAATTCATGTTGAGTTTTCTTTCCTAATTTAGGACTTAGTATTTGCTTTTGACCTCCATGTCCTAAAAGTCAGTCAAATTTTTAAAAACTGATTTGTAAAAATAAATAGAAGTCAGGTGCTGTGGTAATCCCAGCTTCTCAGGGAGCTGAGGCAGAAGAATTGCAAGTTTAAGGCCAGCCTGGGTAACTTAGTGAGAGCCTGTCTCAAAATTAAAAATTTAAAAATGGGCCAAGTATGTAACTCAGTGGTAAGTGGCCCTGGATTCAATCTCTAATACTAGAGAATAATATCACCAACAAATAAATGAGAGCATCTAACTTCACTAATAATAATCAAATATAGGATAAAGTCAAGAAGCAATAGTCACCTATATAAAGGTGAATACAGCACATATAATATATATATGAACATAACATATATACCATAATAATACCCATTATTAAAAGGACATGAGCAAGCACCTATGTCTTCCCAGTGGGAGTATAAACTGAAAGAATCCTCTGGAAGATAAATTGTAGTGCTGTTGAAATCCCCCCAGCCCATGTGTTCTTTGACCTTGAAATACTCCTTCTGATTCTTTATTCTAAGAGGATAACAGCCACCCTCAAATCTCTACCAAGAAGAATGTTCATTGTATCTTAATTGATATAGCACATCCCCAGACAGCCTAAATGTCCAAGAATAAGATCCTAAAATCAAACATGATACAACCATTTGATACGAATATGTACAACAATCTAAAATGATAGTGCTGAAGGTGAAGAAACAGTGGTTCTAAATGGAAGGGGAGAAAACATTTTATAGGATGAACATCCCCGAAAGTCAGTGGTCACAAAAGCAATGGATTTCAAGCACATCTGTATGTTGCTCATTCAAGCAGATCTTACTAGTCTTGCTGTAAAACAAAATCACACTTGCTTTTCCTGCTCATCTAGCAGCCTGGGCTCTTGTCTCGCCTCCTGTTCTCCCTTCTTATCTGACCCAGCAGGAAACCTGCTCCTCTCAGAGTATCCCAAACATTTCTGGAAGTCCTCAATGTGGATGGGTATTGTGGTCACTGTCAAGCACCTACCTTTTCTTGCTTTCCTCTTTCATCTCCCACCTGTTGCAGAAGCAGAAGCAGAAGCCTCACCCTGGCGGTCTTGACAGTGCTTGTAGTGAGAAAGCCAAGCTCAGTGTCTGGCATGGTCTCCCAGGTCATGGGAGCATCTGAGGAGTGACACTTTCTATCTGGAAGCTGCTGCAAGTGGCCTCCTCTCTAGCTCCAGACTACACTCTGCCACTTGGAAACAAAGCATTCTGCATTCTATGTAAGCCAGAATCCCAAGGCTAAAAGAAGGATTGGTTTAATAATTTCTAAACCCTTAGATTTTGCCCAGAACCTCACCAACAGCATGAAATCACTTTCCATCAGTTTTTGGCTTTCTGGTTTTTTGTTTGTTTTTATCTGTATTCATCTCAAGGGCTCAAACACAGCTGAGGACAGAGGTTATGCTACCTCCTTTTTTAGTTCTCCCGGGCCCTCAACAAAAATAAATAAATAAATATCCAACACACACCACCAAACAAACAAACAGGAAAAAAAAAAAAAAAAACCTAACCCATCCATATGTGACTTTGGTTTCATAAACATCCTTTTCTTCCCTCTCATCCCCAAATCTTCCCACTCGCTTTCAGTTTTATTTTCTTTTGAAGTTCCAGGAAGCACCAGCTTCACAAGCATCTTCAGAGGCTACAAGGTCGATGCATTAAGTCACCTCAGTCATTTCACTTTCACTGATTTCAAAATGCTTAAATCAGTGAAATTATTTTTCTGCCTTCTACTTTCCTTTCCCATTACAATTTTAAAGTTAAATTTGGGGAATGGGTATCCTTAATGAACATATCCATACCCATCAGCCATTTGTTTATAAAGGACAGTTCTCCCAATCATGAGTCTAAGAAGAAATAAGAATATATCACCAAAAACTAAATTTTCTCTTCCACCCACTTATACTACTCTAATATGTGCATACTAATACTAGATGGTAATTCAGAAGAACATGATTTTAATCAAATCTAATATGGAATTGACCAAATGACATTAACAAATCATTTTTTAACCCTTTAAAATGTTTAATTCCGTTTGTTTTCACATTCAAATAATATCTACTATGAGAACATTGTTTAATATTATCTCCGAAAATGCTAATAGTTGCTTCAGAGTTGAAATTTTCATGGATTTCATTTTTTATTTTCACTTATTTTGATTTTTTTTTACATTGAGCATACATTGATTGTATATATAAAATATTGTAGCTTTTAGAAAATATAAAAAAGAAAAAGAAACTTATCCAAATCCAGGCTAGGAAAGACTAAAACCTTTGGAATTGCCATCTCATATTTTCACATGAATGTGACTGTGATCATAAAGTTACTTAACTTGTGTGAGATTAGATTTGCTATTATGAAGTGTTGCTGCAATTATACCTCACTCTTGGAGTTGCTGCTTAAAACCAGTTTTGCTCCCTCTGGCAATGGCTTCTATCATTCTGTGACTGCAACAGCTCTTCCCTTGTGGCCATAACCAATACCATCTCACCTATAAAATCAGTTTCCAGATGATTCTCCCCTCTGAGCCTCATCTGCTCACTTGTTACTCAGAAGATAACCACAAACATCAAGGACCCTCTTTTTACCGGACTGCAGGATCTCCCCCTGGGTCTGAGAGCTTTTCTTGGACCCCAACTGTGCTTCTTTTGCATCCTCAGGGATGACAGAGTACAGCAGACAGTCAAAAACAGTTCAAAGATAAAATGATCTCTGTTCTACTAACGTGTATTTATTAATATTACACATTGTCCTTTTTGTATGGATGCTTATTATAAAGGGCTTTCAGATTTTTCATATTGTGGATGTTGGTATACCACATAAAGAGGTAAAACAGTACCTGGCCAGATGGTGACCTTTTAGCAGCTTAAAATTCTGATGCTAAGCAATTTCCTTCTTTACATTCTCTAGAAGGATTTCCTAGAAAAATTAGTCATCTTTGAGGATAATTCACTTTTTCTCTCTTTAACAAAACTTGGATGACTGGAAAACATGATGTTGGAACATCAGTAGAATAAATTTCTTTATAAAATATTTGGATCTGAAGTCCCTAAAAACTTTATTTTTAATTTATAAATTTGAGTGTGTTTATTTATTAACTTACCATCTGTGATTGTTTCCTTTTCAGTGGTAAAAATTTAAGAAGAAATATTTATAACTGTAAATAATTTTTAAACAGTGTAGCAATTATTATCATAAATGCTGTTCAAATATTTTCATCACTTGGTGATATTACTAGATTTTACCTAATTCTCCTTCTCTTTATAACCCTTTATCTTTATCAGTTTTTTTTCAACTGAGGTCTCTTCTTTCATTTTTTTCTCCAAGAATAGGCATTTGTTTAATCCCATACATTTTTCAATGTCCTGGTGACAGCTAATTTGGATCTTAATCTATGTTTAAATAGTTCTCTCATTAATTAAAAAAAACTTCATCTTTTAAACAAGTCTCATAATTATAAAATAACACAATATATGTGCATTTGAAAAAATAGAAATATAGATACATTAAAAAATTTAACTGAAATAGCAGTGAAAATGAATAATAGCAATGAAATTTTATCATTGAGCAACAGTCAGCATTGTAATTTATTTGGTATATAGTCTTCCCAGCTCTCAGGTGAATAGATAGATAAATTTATTGATTGATTTAAAAATATTTTTTAGATATTTTATATGTGTTACCCATTTTTATTTATAATTTATAATATATATTTAATTTTTTAATGAAAATGCTTGCTAAAGTTTGGATGTGGTTTGAGTATATCCCCCCAAAATTCATATGATTCCTGGGAGCTAGGTCTCTGGTATGGCAGTATGAGGTAGAGGAATCTTTAAGAAGTTCCTTAACTGATTAGGCCAGGAGTGTACTGCCTTGAAAGGGATTAACTCATGGAGTCAGTTTTTATAAGAGTGGGTTGTTATAAAGCGAGGTCACACACTTGGTCCTTTGTGCACACAGTAGGTTCCCTTTCTATTTCTCTGTCATGTTGTGAAGTAGCCAGGGATCATCATCATCAGGATGCCAGTGCCATGCTGTTGGACCCTCTGGCCACCAAAATTGTGGGACAGGTAAAGTTTATTCTATTAGTTACCCAGCCTCGGGGATTTTGTTAAAGCAACACAAAAACAGACTACTATAGTGGGGTTATAGTATATACTCATTAGTACTGGCTATTCAAATGACAATATGTTCTGAATATTTTACTATGGCTATAGATAAATTTAGACATGATAATTTTAAGAGAATATAGTTATTTTTATGACATTCTCTGATCTTTTATTTTTTCAGCCATCAAAATATGATAATAGTAGTATTCAAATCTATTTTATAGATTTATCATAATCACCAATTGAAAACACCATTATTGTTTTCAAGAGTTATTAAAATGCAAGACTTTATGATCACAGGACAGATTCATAGTGGGTTGTGACATCTGCAGGGACTGAACAATTTTATTTTGAAGAAAATGAACTTCATTCACACAAGCATACGCTGTACAAAGACTTTTTGAGCATCTATTATGCCCCAATGAGAGCAATCTACACCAAGTTCCAGTAATGAAAAAAACACATTAATATTACTTGTTTAGTTTATCATCTATGGAATTTACCTAAGGTCACACAGGCAGTAAATATCTAAAGCTGGAATTCCCAAGCCCAGTTTTTTTTTTTTAGTAATTGTGTTCTTTTTAAACTTTATTTTATTTATTTTTATGTGGGGCTGAGGATCAAACCCAGTGCCTCACACGTGCTAGGCAAGCAGCTTTACCACTAAGCCACAACCCCAGCTCCCAAACCCAGTTCTTACCCTGCTCTTCTGTCTTATTTCTACCAACCTGCTTTAACATGAATCCAGAACTATCCACTCACAAACCACTCTTCCTTTGGACCATTTCCTTTCCTCAAGTCCTCTACTACCTGTCCTCTTAAAAAAAAATAGCAGAATCCTGTCTCTATGTAACCCTCCCTTCCCCTTCCACAGGGTTGAGTTTAATAGACGCCAAAACTCAATTGCCTACAAAGGTCATCAGCTAATCTGCAAAAGGGAACTAGTGAGATGTAAAGCAACAGGAAGTGGTGTGGTCTGGGAAATGAGGCAGGCTAACCAAACATTTTCAAACAAAACACATCTGTGGACCAGTTGTAGCTTCTGAGATGCCATTTTGGGACCCTTACCTCCAAAGGAGCAGGAATGCAGATTTGTTTGTTTGTTTTAAGATAATAAAAATGACAAGGATGACTAAAATTTTTAGATACTTCCTCTGTGCCAGAAACTAGGATTTACGAAGTCTTTCAACCTGGCCTACTTGAAATGAACTTGACAAAACCATAAATTCTTTCCTGCAATACTCAGAGTACTCACCTTACAGCTGCTCACACCTAGCAATTCTGGGCATGTGATTCCTCCCACTGAATGCTTCTCTCCTTTTGCAGGTGTTAGTGAATCAGCAGGTGGGTTAGATCATCCTTCTCCTTTACTACCCTGGACCAGCAGGCTCCTGAGCACTGCTGTACATATGGTATGGTTATATGGTTTCCTTCACTTGGGGATTAACTGAAGAGAGTTGTACCCTAGGAGAGGAACTCTTAAAGTAAAAATGGCTTTTTAAAGCACCAAGGGGAAGAGATCTAATCACTTAAGATATTCACATGGTGATACTCTTTGGATTTCCCCACTGCTCCTAATTTGCTTCTTTTGCCTTCAAATTTGCATTTTTCTCCCCAAAGTCCTTCCTTTCTCTGATGTCTTGTCTGAATCTCTCTCTACTTTAAAAACCCCATCATCTGCACACAGCTAATGATAACAGCTTATCCTCTTTCCTAGTAGGATTGCTCCATTCTCCCTGTGGCAATAGTTTTCCCAACTTTTAACTCCTTCCATCTGTGATAGTGGGAGGAGCCCATTAATGTGGTCATCCCCTGCCTCTTACCCATGGAACAGCCTCTCTACATCTGGTGGTGCCATCAACCATCTACCTGACCTCTCCAAATAAAGTTGTCCCTTCGTGATCTCCTCACAAGTGTGCCCTGTGCCTGTTGGATCAAATATGAACTCCCTAAAGTATAAAGACATATAATCAGGCCTAGGCAAGAACTAGAAATTTCTGAAAAAAATGAGCTGAAATAAATGCTTTTATATAAATGTGTAAATGTGAGGACAGTGGCAATCAGTACTATATCTAAAAGAGGTGCTCATCACCCAGCCCAGCTGAATGTTACCATAGAGAGATGAAGGTTGATGTAGCCAGAATGCTGTATTTTTAGGTCATATTTGATATACTGGCTCATTTTTTTAAAGAGCTCATTTTACGGACCAAATAAAACCTACCCTTAGGTTTTGTCAGTTTGCAACCCCTAGCCTAAAACCATATAAACTTTTTAGAAAGGAGAAAATCACATTTTTCCAAATATCTCCTAATTCACAAAGTCACTTTCTTTCCAGAATCCATGTCTTATAAGTCATATTTTGTATAAAACCATGGTCTTTCCTTTGCTCACTCCCTTCTTGAGTTGGCCTCCGAATTGTTCCCCTTCCTGTTTGGGGGGAATAAGAAAGAAAGGTCTGTTTTCTTCATGAAACAAAACAAACCTTTGAATTATGACAACATTCTTTGCCATCAGCCTTTGTTATTCTCATTTCTATTTGAGGAGGAAGGAATATTTTTTTTTTTCCTTTCACTTGTACTTCTGCTCTGGGGCCCTTCTTTGGTATAGCTCCCCTCCAAGGCACCAGGAGGGCCCCACCAATGTATTCACATGGTCAAATGGTAGAGTAAAGTTGCAAAGGCTAGATATTTTAATCATCAGTGGTTAGGATCATCACATCTTTCCATTCCAGCACCCCCTGTCACACTTCCCCTTATGTCTGGCTGGTTCACTGCAGTGGTTACAGACACTTCAGAGACTTGCGATAAACATTGTTTTGTTTGTTGAAACAAATTGTTGTGACTGTATATTGCTTTTAAAAAGGGGGCGGGATCGTTCACACAATCTAGATGCGTATAAAAACTATTTGTGGAAAAACAGCCATAGTAGGTAAAAAAAATGAGCTATTTGATCATAATCATTTGCTTTTTTTATAGGCTGAGCACCTGTGGAAACAAGATTTACATCCACCTCCAAGCACTGTGTCCTTTGAAAATTTCCAATGATTTACATTTCATTTCTGTACTTACCACAAATACTTAGCTTTCTAATTTTTATTCCCTGAATAAAATTTTTGGCTTAAATTAAATGTAGTTTTTTTTTGTTGTTGTTGTGGTTTAAATTGTATAACTTTGTGTCATGCCTAACCACACTGATATCATGCTCTTTAGATTGCACTTTGGAGCCACCAGGGATCATACTGACTTAGCATCCACTCATCCATAAAAGATGTGTCATGCCAGACATTGTGCTGGGCAGTCCAGTGAGGGAATCACAATACAGACAGGAATGTAAAAAGTGGATGAGACATTGCCATTGCTTCCAAGGACCTCACAGTCTAGTGGGAAAGACCATGGGCTAGTGGGAGAGGCATACAGTTGAACTATATAGTACAAGAAGAAAAAGGTAGAAGCCAATTTGCTGAGAAGTCAATTTGCTGAGAAGTCATGTAGAGTACTTGAATATACCAAAATTTGAGCTAGGCCTTGAAGGATGTGAAATAACTTATCACATTAACAAATGAAAGAACATTCAGGGCAAAAAGAACCATTGAGCGTGATTTAACATTTTGTGTTGGTATAAATGAAGTTGAATAAAATGTAAAAAATAGAGAATCAGAAGAAGGACAGAGGGTCGTCTGGGGTCAAATTATAAAAGACTTAATGAAAAGATTTTTAGTAAGGAAACAATTATACTTGAGAACCAGCTTTATTTGTTTCCTTGAATACAGTGAAACTGTAGCAAAATCTCTGACAAAATTGGGAATCTTAGACCTGAGGTCTTCCACTTAGAGTCACTGAAACATGATATTCTTAGATGCAGTTCAAAATTATATCAGTAAGGATCTAAAGCATAATTATCTAATTCTTATAAAAAATGATGTCAGTGACAAGTAGTCTGGCCAAAATTTCCGATTTTCAGAAGTGAGTGAATAGTATTATTTAATATTGGCACCATTAAACTGTGGCCCACTCACCTAACTCCTCCACCTCAAATAAATTCATCTGGTTTCCTACATAGTACTTAAAATCAGTATCATATACATTTTTTTTGTTACTATATAAAGACTGCAGTTTTCTACATTCACAACATTAATTTAAAATTTAAAGTGAAACAAAATTGGTATTTTACAAATTTTACCCACTAGATCCTGAAACAATATTTAAATACATATCAATGTGTATAGTATATAATAAATACATATAAATGTGTATAGTATATATAGTATATACATCTACGCATTCATAATACAATTTTGCTAAAAATTTAACTTTCTTGCTTTTTTTTTTTTTCCCCAGTACTGGCAATTGAACCCAGAGACTCTTTACCAATGAGCTATACCCCTAGACCTTTTCCAAAATCCTTTATTTAGATACAGGATGTTTTAGATAGCATTTTTGCTGCTGTGACTAAAGGATCTGACCAGAACAACCACAGAGAAAGAAAAGTTTATTGGGGGTTCATGGTTTCAATCCATAAACTCAAGGTTTAAGGTGAGGCAGAATATCATGGTGGAAGAGTGTGGTGGAAGGAAGCACTTCATATTATGATCAGGAAGCAGAAAGAGGTCCCCACTTGCCTGAAACAAATATATACCCCCAAGTCATACCTCCAACTCCCACCTCCTCCAGCCACACCCTACCACTACAGTTACCACTCAATTAATCCCTATCAGGGGGTTAATTCACTCACAACCCCATAACTTTTCTCTGAACCTTCTTGCATTGTCTCACATGTGAGCTTTGGGGGGATACCTCACATTCAAATCATAACACTGGGTCTTGCTAAATTGCTGAAGCTGGCCTCGAATTTGCAGTCTTCAGGCCTCAGCCTCCAGAATAGCTAGGATTACAGATGTATACCACTGCACCTGGCTAAAAATAACATTTAAAAAAATTAATTATTATAATATTTTGTTGAATTTTAAGCTAGTTTTCCTTTAGCAAGGAATTAATCATCTAAGTGTTTAAAAAGTGATTCTATAACAATACCTATTGCCTAGGCTAAAAAACGGTGAGATTAGGCAATACTAGATGTGTTTCTTATCTTATCTAAAGCAAATACCGCCCTCAACTTTTTAATCTCTAAATCGAGTATACTTTCAGTGATGGTTTTAAAAAGAATTTCTATTTTATAACTTAAAAAGCCTCATCAAATGGTGATAATAAAAAGACATAGCATTCTTATGCAGCATTAGCAGACCGAAAATAAAAATAATTCAGCTGTTGATATTTTTCTCTTTTAGTCAAATTCTTGCCTTCAGGAAGTCTAACCTGCTTCCTTCTTTGTCTTGTCTATGATTCATGCTAATTTTGGTGGCTGATTTAAATTTTTATAATACAATAGATGTAGGCCATGAAGGCGGGTTGCCAGCTGTTTCCAAGAAGTGTTAAATTAAAATAAAGTAGCAATGTTCATTGTTTTCCTTGGAAACATAGGAAATTTCCATTGGATATCTCTTATATTATTGTTTTCTTCTTATACCACAAAGCTCTCCTTATTAGCTTCTTATTAATTCTGCCTTTTCAAATTAGCATTGCAATGTCTCTGCAGATGTCAGTAAGTCTGAGCAAGTCCTCTATCTGCAACATGACGTCAAGCCATCACCTGTTTTTGATGCCCCACAGTGTTGTATCCCATCTGAAAGGACAACTCCTATTTTTGCTATACTCAACTTACATCACTCACCCCACTTCAGTTCTGACACTAAATGTGTTTGATTCAATTCTGACCCTATCTATGTGAAATTGGTAGATAAAGGACACAGAACTACAAGACTGCCCCATTTTAGATCCCAATTCTGAGTTCAAGTTAGCATCTGTTCTTCTGTCCAATCAGCTGTTAATTGGAAATTCCTATAGCCATTCCTTTAGTTTTAATAATTTGCAAGAATGGTTCACAGAACTCACAAAATCTAGTTTACTCAGTTTATTATAAAAAGGGTACAACTCAGGAAAAGCCAGACGGAAAGGTGTGGAGCTTCCATCCCTCCCCAGGCATGCTTAACCTCCCAGCCTTTCCCTGTGTTTGGCAAATGGAACACTCTCTGAGCTTTGGGTTTTTATAAATGCCTTATTACATAGGCATAATTGACTGAATCATTGGGTTCTGGTAATCAAGTCAATCTCTAGTTCATCTTTCCTGGAGGTCAGAGGTACTGATTGGTTCCCACACATAGTTGGTACCCCTGAAAACCAGCCACCACCCTAAGGCTCTTCAATTACCCCCAGGTACCAGTCATCTCATTAGCATACAAAAATACATGTATCCCTTCAGTGATTGCCAGGAAAGGGGGATTACAGGAACCAAATATATATCTTCTTATGTCACACCATCCCATACTTGGGTTATATGAGAAAGTTTAATGTAAAAAAAAATTAACAGTTTTTCCTCCCAAGGAAAGTGTCAGAACCAGATTTTGCACAGGGGAATGCTACCAATTTTTTAAAAAAGTAGATAATTCAATGTTGTTTAAACTATTCTGTAGATAAAAAAGAAGATGGGGGAGGAGGAGGAGGAGGAGGAGGTTGGGGGGAGGAAAGGAGAAAAAGAAGAAGCACTTCCAAATTATCTTTATGAAGGAAATATAAAATATATATCTGATAACACCTACTAAAAAAAGATATAAGCTAGTCTTTCAATTACTGTCAATACTAAATAACTATTAACAAGCAGAATCCAATGGCAATTTGTAACTCTGAAGGTTTTCCCCCATGAAAATATAGATGGTTCAACTCTTGAAAATCCAGTAGTATTTATTGTGTAACATATAATCATGAAAAGACCTATGACAAAATTTAACAAATATCCTAAATAATAAAAGGGAAACTCTCAATAAGAGAAATAAAAAAATAATTCCTTGTTATGTTTGTCTGAGACCAAATACCAATATAATTTTCAATGGGAAAAACTAAGGAGTTTGTTTTAAACTCCTGGGATTATTATTGTTATTTAATAGTGTATTGGACAAAAATAATAAAGACTAGAAATAATACCAATTACTTATCAAAATTTATTATATATGATATAGGTAATATTAGTTGTAGAAAGATGCACTTATTCATTTAGCTATATTGGAACAACTAAGTAGCCATCTATAAAAAAAAATGAAGTTGAATGCATATCTAACACACACAAAAAAGATACAAGCCAATTATATCAAATATTTAAATTTTGAAAAAATAATGTAATTAGAATAAAACCATGAAAGTTCTGGAAGTTTAGAGGGAATTTTTTTTTTTAATGTATGCTTGGAGAGAGAAAGGACTTTCTGATAAAATCTTGTAGAATATTTAACTATAGGACAGGGTAGATCTCCTGAAAACTATAAAGTACTAAAGGGATTCAAAAGAGGTAAAACCTAACAAGAGCAACAATCATTAAATGATGGAGAAGTTTCAGAGAGCGTATGGAAGCCAGCCTACAAGATGGTCTCAAATAATCCTTGCCTCCTTGTATCATACCCTTGTCCAGTCCCCTTCCTGAATCAGGGAAGATTAGGGGTGGCCCAGTGTGACCAATAGAAGTGACAGCATGTGACTTCCAAAGCTAGGTCAATAAAAGATGTTGCAGTTGCATCTTCTATCTTGCTCTCTTTTATTTTTTTCTCTGGAGGATATCAGCCACCAGGCTGTGAGGACAATCGAGTCCTTCTGTGGAAGGCCCAGGAGGAGAATATAGCCCATGGCCAACAACCAGCACCATCTTGCCCATCATGTTAGTGAGTCAAGTCAAAGATGGATCCTGCAGCTCCAATAAAGCCTTGACTATCTCCAGCCCTTGCCAATATGTAACTGCAACCTCATGAGAGATTTCCAGCTGGAACCCCCTACTTAAGTTGCTCACAAATTCCTTATCCCCAAATCAAAATCAGTGGGGTAAAATTGGTTATTTTTTATTTAGGCCATCAAGTTTAGGGAAGATTTCTTGCATAGTAATAGATAAATAATACAGGCATCTATGTTTAAAAAAAGCACCAAGCTCATACAGCTTTAATAAACTTCATTTAGGTCTTCAATAAATGGATAATTTTTATACTACCAAAATATCCAAGAGCATAAAAAGAAATATACTTTCTATGAAA